GCTGCCTTCTGTCCCATGTGGTTCCTAAAGCCATCCAAACGCCCTGGTCCTGCCTCATACCCTTCCCCTGAGTCATGCATCGTAGTGCAAAGGACAGTTGTACAAGAATCTGCCTAGGGTCAGGTGCAACACACAGGAAAAGAGCCTTGAGACCTGGTCATCTGTCTTGCCCTTTGCTTGCAAACACAGTTTTGTACTTGTTAAGCCAGAGAAGTCTTTCATACTTTGGGAACTTTGCAGCCAGGTCTGTTACTACTGGAACAAGGAATGGAAAGTTCAGAGAAGTTCAGCAACATGTATGTGCTCAACACAGCAAGTCAAAGAAGCCAACACTGGCAGGTGTCTGGGGAGCTCAGACTAGGGTCCTGCCTGCTGCCCTCCGTGGCTTTGGAATGCAAAGAGAGCTGTTCTCTGTACTCCTCTCATGGCCTGGACTGTCACCCTATTCACTGAATTCTGGCTCCCTCTTCATGATTTGTTTCATTCACACACACACACACACACACACAGAGAGAGAGAGAGAGAGAGAGAGAGAGAGAGAGAGAAAACCCACTCTGTGCTGTTGTCACTCCCATTTTCTTGCTGTCAGGAGGAGAGGTGTAACTGTGTGTTGGTTCTGAGCCCTGTGCTTTCTAGAAAACGGTGTCATCCTGCTTGGTGTAGCCCATCCAGGCAGAACCTGCAGAATCGGCCAAGTGGTTTCTCTGCTTCACTTGCCTGTCAGATAGGAGCCACCTGCTTGTTGCCTGGAGCAGTGACACTTCGGTTGAGACATGCTCCCCAGTGGTCCAGCTTCCTATGCAAGGATGTCAGGGAATTGATTTTTCTGTTCTTTAGGAATAAAAGGTGCCAGAAGTTGGCTGGAATGGAACAGTCAAACAATGTAAGTGTATTCCTTCTCTCGCTCCCCACCCCCAGGAGCTGTGCTTTACTGGTGGAAATATATTTGCAGACCCATGGAACTAAGAGAACCCTGTGCAGCAAGATGGTGGTGATTGCTGTGCAGAAATATATCCTGGGACAGCTGAGTGTCTGGTTATCTGTTCTGATTTTTCGGTGTCCTCTTCTACCCCTTTAGGACTGTAGGAAAATTTCTTTAATGAAAATGGTGTTAAGTACCCCATGTTTGAAAAGGACATTGGTGGTCACTAGTGAGGCTGGAGATGAATTTTTAGTTTCCTGATCTATAATGCAGGGATATAATGATCTCCTGCCTGTGAGAAATATTTATACAGGTAGAGCTCTTAGAACTGTGACAGGGACTGGCATTGTGCCATAGCAGGTGGCATGGTTGTAGTCCCGGCTGCTGGAAAGTGCCCTGAGGGCTACAGTAAATATGGCCTTAACCTTGGTTTGTGTCCCTAAGACTAGATACCTGCACTAGCCCAGGTATCAGCCAGACACTGAGGCATTCACTGGATTCATCCCTTAGAGAATTATCTTCCAGGATGTGCCCCTATTCCTAACTCCAACAGTCACATAACTCAGAGAAGGCTTGTAGCCAGCCTTTCCAAATATCTGGAAGTGAGCTGTAGATGTAACAAACCGAATGTGGACATGGGAATTGAAATGACTTAGGTAGGAATCCCAGTTTGGTCACTTCCTGGCTGTGTGTCCTTGGATAAAGCACTTTGTCTTTCTTGGCATCCATGTCAACATTTTTATTCAGTAACTTTAAAAATTGAGGAATATGTTAGTTAATAGGCTTAAAATAACCAAGGCAGTTTGATCATAAAATAGATGTTCTGAAAACGCTTGTATTATTTTTTATGAGCTCTTGGAATTCCACCTGTGATATCTGTTCACTCAGGAATTCTCCAGAAACCATTATAAGGAATTTCAAGAGAATTAGCAAATCATGTTGTAGTGGGAAATGCATCAGAATGAAATACAGCTGTCGAAAGCTTGACACAGCACAGCAACCTGTTGTAGTTTTTTCAGTAGTGATGGATGATATAAACTGAATATCTACATTCTTATAAAGGGTTGGATCCAAATGTGCTCCAATACTAGGAGTCATTGATTCTGATCGCCCAGCATCTGTTTTTAAAGCCTTGTTGTATCATAATCTTCCTACAAATTGTCCCATGCTGAGTGCCGTCTGATGGCAAACAGGTATCTGTTGCTGAAGAGTCTGCAGATGGGCTGAGAGATGGCTGATCTGAATATGAGTTCAGTCCCATTTGCTGAAGATGGCTCTGCTCTCCTTGGGTGGACAAGTACCTGAGCCATGTTCTTCTCATGCTTAAACAGCAGAAGGCATGAGAAGACATCAAGCATGACCATATAACTGCGTTGCAGGCATCTGCCCATGTCCATTCTGTAATGAATGTCCCTGAAGCTGAGTAAGTCCTATGGATAGTCCCCCTGTTGAAGCGTAAATGCTCAGTTTCCATGAAGCTGTCATGGGAGAGACTCTGGGATGTTCCACTGTTGTAGCAGAATCAAGAATTGGAGACCAGTAATTGATTTTGCCCCATCTCTGAGGTTGTAAACTCTTGCTGTTATATATAGCCCCCCTTTCTGGTTAGTGGAGAGGACAATTCGTTATGATCCAGTTGTAACTCCAGAAAAGTTTAGATTTCTTAATACATTATGGGATTTCCTGTTTTATGAATAAGACTTCTTAGTGGTCAATTGTATGCAAAGCAGCTAAAATTGACAGAGGAGCCCAGTGTCATGGCCTCCTCCACTTTCAAACACCAGCATCCAATGTGGGTGCCGGCTCATGTCCTGCTGCTCCAATTCCCATCTACTTCCCTGATTATGGCCTGGAAAACCAGCAACGTATGGCCCAAATTTTTAGGTCTCTACATCCAAGTGGGAGACCCAGAAAAAGTTCCTGACTTCACATCAGCTCAGCTGCAGCCCTTGCAGCCATTTGGGAAGTGAAATGAGAGGGAAGATCTGTTTCTGTCCCTCCTTCTCTCTATAAATCTGCCTTTCTAATAAAAATAAATCTTTTAAAAGTGGCACATGAGAGAAAGGAGGTGTGGGAAATTCTGTGAAATGTTTCAAATTAAGCCCAGAGCTGCAGACACTGGAGATTACTGCCATCTAGTGCTCACCCAGGGTCCATGTGAATTAAATTACTGGTTTTTCTCCAATTCTTAGTAGTTTTTCTGGTCATGACTGATTCTTCTGGTTTTATTTATTGTAAACATTTGCTTAGTTATTTGAAGGAGCTACAGAGAGAGACATACAGAGATGGTGGAAGGCAGGAGGAAGAAAGATCATGCATTAATGGACCATTCCCCAGATGGCTGCATGGCCAGGGCTGCAGCTCTGTCAGCCCGGGTCCTGGAGTCAGCATGTTGATTTCAGGCAGACAAAACACGAGAAATATGCATGGTTGTGTTCAGTCAACAGCATTTTGGGGAATTACCCCTACACGACTTAGTTCACTCTACCTTCATTGATATACCTCACTAAATTTTAGTTTGATCATCTGAAAAAATTGAATAATGGGCTTGAATTATTGAAGTCATTCTGTGAGTTAGACATAATAAAATGTGTAGGCACTATATGCACATGGTAAGGCCTTTTTTTTTTGGCTGTGACAATTATGATGATGAGGTTGTTCTCTGTCCTAACTTTATTTCTAACATGTAATCCATTTTTTTTTTCTGAACAAATTATACATAGTGTGTCCTTGAGCAAATCGCTTTGCCTCACACTGCCGTGGTAGTATTTTAAGCTAGATGAGCCACAGCTTTCATTTCTAGTCCATTAAGGACTCTAGTGTGGGGAAATTCAGAGTCCATTCTAGGGTTTCAAACATATTTCCTTTACTTAGGGTTAGAAACTTGTGATCATGGTGAGTATTCCCCACTGATCCAATTGCTTCTCCCTCCTCAAGGTGAAAGATCTCTATCCTTGTTACAGATTTATCTGCATCTAGTTCTGAAGATTTTGTCCTTCAAATATTTAGTCACGAATTGATTTCCCAGCTCGGGCAGCTTCATACTTCTTAGTTCTTCCCTCACTCCTTGTTCTGCTTTACCAGTAAACTGTCACCTGGCTCCAAGCACAGCCTGCATCACCCTGTGGTCTTTCTCTAACAGTGTGGTCTTCCTTCAGGAGGAGAAAACGTTGTTTTTGGCAGCCTCGGGCATGACTTACAACAGTTGACACACACAATCACTGGGATCCATTTCGAACTTGCTTAGATGAGGATTCTTACTTTTTTTTTAATTTGGTCTTTTCTTCTTTGATATAGGTCTCCTGTATCCTTTTCTAGTCCCAAAGGCAACCCTTACTTTACTCCCAATGGCTGTAGGTTAGTACAGGTTAATACCCTCCCTTGAGTGACAGGAGAATTGATATTTTGGAGGAATTAGATATAGCAATGATGTCACTTATATGTAAACCTAATTTTTGAAAAGGAAAGGGTTTAATCTCATGCTTTGAATTATATGTTGGGTCCTCTACAGAACCTCCATGTTTTTTTCTCGCCTTCCCTTGTTGAACTGATGGTTTGTTCTTATAGAAAATGCTTTGTGTTCTTTTGTCACCTCTGATCCTAACAACCAGTGCTGGGGTGCTGGTCCATAGGAGATAACCTGTGTTGATTGACTAAGTGAGGAATTTTCTTGACATATTTTCAAGTTTTTATTTTATTTGAAAGAAACAGAGATATTGTGTCAGCTGAGTTGTTCTGCAAATACTTGCAGCAGTCAGAGGTAGGCCAGGCTGAGACTGGGAGCCTGGTACTGTGTTCAGATCTCCCACATTGGGACCCAAGTACTTGAGACATAACCCACTACCCCCTCCAGGAGTTCATGCACATTGATGAGAAGCTCGAGTCAGAAGCAGAGTCAAAGTATGAAATTGGGCTCTCCAGAAGGGTGCGGGACTCCTAAGCAAAATCCTCATCTCTGCCCCCCTTTCTTGATAATTAGTGCTGGCATCCATGTTTAGACATTTAGGCTGTTTACACATGTACTGTTTACTGTTATTTTGTGCAGGGAAAGTAATAATACTCCTTCAATCTCTTTCAGATTGAAGATATCATTACAAAGATGCAAGATGACAAGACTGGGGGAGTGCCCATCAGAACTGTCAAGAGCTTTCTCTCCAAGATCCCCAGTGTTGTTACAGGTAACACACTCCTTACAAGGTGTTTATGAAAATTGGAACCTGCTATGGAAGAATTGTGAAGTCTGGTTTGTGACCTAGGGGGTGTCTGGGAATCTCTGACTAGCACAATGAAATGGTATGACTGGCATTTAATTCAGTGGTTGAGTTGCTACTTGGGATGTGTATTTTCCATATTGGAGCACCTGACTTTGAATCATGACTCTGTTCCCAATTCTAGCTTCCTGCTAATGTACATCCCGGAGGACAGCAAGTAGTGGCTCAAGTAGTTGGTGTCTGCCATCCACATAGGGGGCCTTTGTTGAGCTCCACACTCATTATTTTGTTCTGGCCCTACTCTAACTATTGTGGGTATTCAGCAGTGAATTAGCAGCTGGAAGATACCTATCTCTTTTAAATAAATTTAACTGTATTTCAAATTGATTTCTTGGGAGGGGCACAGAGAAAGAGAGAGAATTCCCATTTACTAGTTCATGCCTTAAATACTCACATTACTTGATGTGTGTCTTTCATGTGGGTGCTCAATTGCATAAGCACTCATTACCACCTTGCAGGATACATATTGACAGGCAGCTGGAGTCAGGAGCCAGAGAGGGGAATTGAACCAGATACTCCATGTGCAGCAAGGGCTGCTGAATTGCTATGCTAAATTCTTAACCCTCTATCGTGTTTCGTACCTTGAGTCCCATCCTGGTCTTGTTCTCTAGGAAGAAGGTATGCTTTGCTAATCATTAAGCATGGCTTCACCATTTCCAGTCCTTTAAATATGTTGACATGGAAAGCTTCAGGGATAAACAAACCCATTAATAAACAAGCCCATTTGCAGTTGGGTCTAAGGAATCATACTCGAGCCCAGAAAGAGTAAAGAAATTAATTTAAACAAGTTTTAAGGAATGTTCTTAACAAGTCTTTGGCTCAAATTCTGAAAAGCACTTGTGGGTTTTTAAACTCACTTTGCTTGAGTTCCTGCAAAGAGGGGTTCAAAAATATTTTTCTCCTTTTCTTGATGTATGTTTTATGTTTGAATGTATTTCTTTTAAAAAAATCTTTGTGGAATACATTTTTAAAGTGTGGGTCAGGCCAATGTTATGGCACAGTTATTTTTGTTCTTCACCTGGGTAAATAGATAAATAAACTCTGATCTATCCAAACTCAACAGCTAAAACAGGTGAATTCTTGATACATGTAGCAGCTCAATGAGTGTCAAAATCATTTTTTTCTGAATGAAAGAAGCCAGTCTCAAGAGGATAAATACTGTATCCTTCTATTGACATGCCATTCCAAAGTGAGAGTGATGGAGAGAGGATGGGTGATTACCAGGGACTGAGAGTTGAAGGAAGTATATGACTAAGGGAATAGCATAAGGGAATTGTATAAGGCAAAAGGGCTTTGTTGTATCCTAATCATGATGGTGGTAATATGACTCTGTCAATACTTGGGTTAAGCTTCATAGAACAATGAGTAAGTGTGTGAGACACAGAGAATGATTGTATTAATATACTACAACTAAAAAAGCAAATAGAGTCATCATTATCCCAACTTACTGAATTGCCAACTATTTCATCTCACATTACAAATGCTTCTCACATTTGTTGGAGCTAGAAGTCCAACACCAGGATGCTCTCATTCTTGGGTTCTGGTGAGGTGTTTTTTGCAAGTGACAGACAGCTTGCTTTTCTTTGTATTCTCACCAAGCAGATGGAAACTAGGTGATTTTCTTACCTTTTATAAAAAGGCACTAATTTCATTCATGAGAGCTTGGGTCTCCTAAGTGACTTCTAAAGCCCCTACCTCCAAGTGTTGTCAGGTTGGGATCAGATTCCCCTGTGGGAGATTTGTGAAAAACAGTATAACAGGACAAAATATTTGGGTAATGAAGAATGCTTGTACTGGTTGTTCTCTAATTTTAAGTTCTGTTTAATTGAACTAGCCTATGTATTGTTGGATTTTATTTGACAATATGTTGTTTTGGGGGATTTGAATCTATTTTCATGGAGAGATTTGGTTGGTGGTTTTTCTTCCCATCATTAGTGGTTTGGGGATCAAACTTGTGCCAGCCTCATAGGATGTACCATGCAGTACCCCACTTCAATATTGCACTTTTTGAAAAATAACTTTTATCATTTGACTGTTTACTGATTGTTTGCTCTTGTCTAAGCACTGATAGGCACTTGAGATTTAGAAGTAAATAAAAATGTCTTTTCTCATGGAATTTATATAAAATATAACGTTTCTATAAAAAAAGATAATGAGTAAGGAAGTTTCTCAGAATTTGGCATAGGGATAAGGACAGAGGAGACAACACACGAGTCAGGCAATGTTGGACTGCTGCAGATCTGGAATTGGTGCTCAAAAAAGTCAACTCTGAATGGGTGATATGTTAGTGAAGATAGAAAGGAAATGAGGCTTGGGTCATGAAAATTGAGAGGAAGAGTATTCCAGAGAGCTAGTGTGAAATCCTCAGTGCAGGAGCGGCCCTGGTTATGGAGGGACCATGAAGAGGGAGCTGGAGCAACTGCACAGGGTAAGGAGAGAGATAGGAAGAGTCAAGTCAAAATGATAATGGTCATGTGAATTCCTGATTAGGCCATGTGCGTGGCATCACACACTCAATCATCTTTCAAAATTATCACATTACTGTGTTCAGAAAACTCTGGTAAAGGAGTGAAGACTGGGGACTCCAATGCCAGACAAGAGGACGTTGTAAAATGATGCCTCACTCTCAACTGTCAGCATTGGAGCTCTATGAAGTGTCAGGTTTGAAGGTCAAACACAGCAATGGGGGATGGGCGAGATGTAGATTCCAATGGTTTGGAGTAATTAGTATAGTTAATGCTTGAAAGAAATCTGTCAAAAAGAGGACCTGTGGAAGTATCTAGAAGGGTTCCTTAGGTTAAAGCACAAGGTTTTTAAATAGTACGAAAGCAACAATATGTATGACAGGAATGACTCAATGCAAGGGTCTTTCAAAAAACTATGGAAAACAGATTTAAAAGGTAAGGTTATTTTACAGAAACAACATTTTGGAATTCATGCATATGTACATTCTTCAAACAAGTTCCTGAAAAAATGCATTTTGTGAGGAAAAAACTATGTGCAGATCACAATTGCTTTCGCACCCAAATGAGCTCATGTTTCCCAATTTCCAACAAACTTCCTGAAGTGCCATTGTAGAGGGGGAAAAGTGGTTAATGAAGGGAGGAGACATTAAAGAAACGATGTCAGTTAGTATCTAAAAAGAGGATTGAATCTGCTTTGTGGACAGGCAAGTAGCTATAGCTAGAAATATTTCCCGTTCATTCGTGTGGAAAGGGGAGCCCTAACTGATGCCCAGGATTAAGAAGCAGCAAGAAGGTGTGATGGGAGGTGATGAAGCTTGTGGGGTTCTTTTCTAATTGCCACTTTTTTCCTAAAGTGGGAAACAAAAGAGATAAAGATATTGAAGATTGGGAAGAGGTTAAAAACTGCTCAATAGCTCACCAGGGAGTAAAGAGATTGATTGGACAAAGAAAATTGAGTTTTGATTGCTAGGCAGTATTAAGGGACCTCTTAGGATTATTAATATTTATGAATTTAAAAAGAGATCATTCTTTCTCCAGCCACATTTAGCTCTGTGGATTTGGGCATATATCAGGCAGAAAGTTGGACGTAATTAATGCTTTAGCAAGTATGAAGACTATGATGAATCGAGAGAGGCAAGAGAGCCACTAAGATGATTGACCATTACATTTTAAATGAGTAAGGAGGAAAGTGAGAACACCGGGCAGATAATGAGTAGTAACAGTGCTGATTACCATGAGGTGGAAGTCAAATGGCAAAGAATTTTAGAGTTGAAGGTTAAACTGAAAACATTGGAGGTATAGAAGGTACTGGTTGGATGGCTGAGTGTTTATTAAGCCTCTGGATAGATTGCGTGGGCAAGACTTGAGGTATAGTCTGAAAATAAGGGATTGAGATTGGATTAGCCATCTGAAATGAGGAATCAGGAATGGACAGACTGTGATATTAGAAGACTGAGTTGTATAGTAATGGAAACAATTGGTGTTGGAGAGATGTTTGATTTTGATTTAACATATTTGTGGAATTAAAAGCAGAAGCCTAAGGATACGTGAAATGACTGGCAACACTGGCCACGGGTGGTTTAATCTGGCAGAGTAGGAGTCAAAGCCTCCAGGCTGTTTTTAGAGTAGAGGGAGGGAATGAAGATAATCTGGAAAAACCATGAGAAGGAACTAGGTCCCCCTAGGTCACCTTCACGAGGAAGTGAGGCAGGGATGACAACTGAAGTCATCTGATTCCTGATTCTAGTTGCACACGAGACCTGAATAAGATCCTGCCTCGCAGCCTCGGTGTGGGCCGAGTCCAGGCTGCTGTGGGCCTGGAGAGAAGTGAACCAGCACATGGGAGCTCTTTGTCTCTGCCTCACAAATAAAGTTTTAAAATAAAGTGTAAGATGCAGAGTCATGAAATGCCCACCTCCTCCTGCTCCAGGAAGCTGCCATAAAAACCAAAGGCAACAGTGACATTCATGTGCAGGGAGTCACCCTGGGAAAAAACTAGCCTGCCTGAAAGCTCATCGCTCTCCTCCCCGGTGACGCCATTGAGTGGAAGATCTCACTGACGTACACAACCCATCACCAAGGCAACAAAAAGAAGAGATCTACAGCAAATAAATAAACTAACAGAAATAGGCAATTGTATACTTATCTAGTTCAGATGAGTCTGGGAGAGTTGGTCCCAGTTTCTAGGAGAGAAACTGTAAAGGTTTCAAAACATAATGAGAAGATTCCAGAACAAGAATGCATTTGCCAAAAAAAAAAAAAAGCAAAAATGCAAATACTGTCTAAGGGAAACATATGTAGATCTGTCAAATATAGATTTCAAAAAAGAATTTGTGAGGAATGAAAGTAGGAATGAGAGGCAAAGTATAATTTTAAGCAGAGCAGAAGTTTTCTAGAACTTACAGGTGACGCTGAAGATTCCAAGCAGAATCTTCCACACGA